CATTGTAATTAGTTTTAACCATTCCTACAACCAGTGCTACTACTGAAAGATTTTTTTCAGCTTTAAAAAGGATACAGACATATTTAAGAAATAATCAAAATAGACTTTCAAATTTATCTTTACTTTCCATAAAAATATATGCTTTAATGACCAGTGCCGGCGCTATGTATTGCGGGGCCCTGGACATAGGTATTAGCCTTAAGGTTCCCAGAGAGGGACGAAATTCTAGCTTTTTTTTAAATCAGGATTTTTTAAAAAAATATTGTTTTTCTTTGAATTTTAAGCAATAACTATAGAGAAAATAAATATTTATATTATTATTTATTGTAGGAATCCTACTCGACGGGTATCGTCAAAATATTACACTTTCGTCGTATCGATAACGATTTACTTTGTAATTTGTACTATGGATAAATTTAGATATCATTTTCCAAATGACTGATGATAGGCATATTATAGATTTATAATTAGTCGATATAAAATGTCAATGTGTCTCACGGTATTAAGATTATAATTAAAAATCACAGGGCCCTGGACAAACGTCCCATTTGTCCTCCCCTATCGCCGGCACTGTTAATGACAACAAAACATGAACCTAATTTTTGTAACGATGTGATTAAGAATTTTTAAAAAATAATAGAAAAATTGAGTTGTCTTATAATTAAAATTCTAATGAATAATAAGAATTTATAATTAAGATATATTATTTTAAATTTTTTTTATATGTTTTCTTTTATTAATTAAAATAAAAAATTGTTGTTACTTAATTGTTAATATTTATGATGTATATAGGTAGGCATCATTTTTGGTTATACTACTGATGAATCCTTGCCACGCCACTGAACTTAATCCAACATTCTCTAAACTTGTTATTTTTTTTGTACAAAGAGTGCGAAAAAAAATAAATGAATCTAAATTTATTCTCTGTTCATCCACATTATGACGATTCAATTACTCTCCAATATACCATAATTGTGTATGTATTATATAGAATAAACTCCATCCTCTTTTGAATAATAGTACGTTTTTTACATTCTTTGGGTCATGGTTTTATAAAAAGTAAACGTGCAAACTGGTTCAATGTTTAGTCATTCTGTTCAATATGTTCTCCTTGAAGACCATAATTATTTGTGAAAGAATTCATTCGATAAATATTTATAAGTACTTCATAATTTATAAGCGTAGTCTGTGGCTCATAACTACTCATTCTTATCAACATCGCGATATTTCTAATTTTGTATCCGTCACGTGTCAAACAGTTGCGTATTTATAACGGGAGTCTATGAGGTCTGGATTCTCCAATTGGCCCCGTAAATACCTATCCAAACATCTAATATATATGTTCAGGTACTTGACCATAGTCGGTGATTATTGACAGTCATCAGTGCATATCAACATACACCAAAAATTGTTGTAAATGTCGTCAAAATAGCCTTTATGCAGTTATACACAGGTGATTGTGGAAATTTACCACTATTGTTTGGTAAATGTTGACCACACTTGAAATGCGATTATATATTATAAAATATCTACGAAAGTATTAAGATCAGTGACGAAACTCACGGGTAAGTTGGCAAAGTGAAACTTTGAAGCCCCCGATTTATCAGAGGACCACTTATAATGCAAGTTGCTACTCAGTGGACAAATAATAAAATTGAATTTTTCATTTATGTTACTATAAACATCTACGTATAGATTAAAATTAAATATTTATGCGATAATTATACTGATATTGTTATTGTTATTAGTAATTATTTTCCTATGAAAGTGACGCGGACCCGTGCGGCAGCCGTTACCGAAACGGCCGTCGCCGACCGTGTCCTTATCTCTCTCATCAACCACCACTCCGCGGCACACAACGTCCATCACCGGACAGGGGACGCGAGCGGTCGTTACGACGTCCGACAGTACCACCATCTGAACCGGGCTGTTTTTCCGAGATCGTGTACCGAGACACAGCTCACGCGTCCTCGACTTACATATTACTTTGTTTGATTGTGACACCTTTTGCGGTATACGTTATCATTATTATTATTATTATTTCATTTTCTTTAATTTTGTGTGGTAAATATACATATACATTGTGTCACCGCAGATCCGAAGTTTTATTTTTTTTTTTTTATATACTCGAATTTGTTCACCGCACCACGACCGTGCATACACACCGTCACCTGTGTGCCGCGTCAAAAGATAATACGGGTAATTAATTTAATAACATTGTAAAATAATTAACATTACTAAATAATAAATGGGACCAAGAATAAACTCCTAAATATCAAATATTATTTCTATTTATAGAAATTCGTTATTTTAACACGACGAGCTATAGCTGATGAGCTGGGGAATAGTGTCACAGGTACCGTTATTATAACAGTTATTAAGCTTAAATTAAGCATTTTGTAAATGATTTTTTACAAAAAGTTCAAGAAATAATAATATTGATTTTAACTTATAACTATAAAATATTTAAAAAAAAGTTTATAGAATTATTTTTTATTTTATGAAATTATTAACGATACAATGGTTTTGATTACCCAATGGGGCGAGGAGGAGAAGACTAACATTGAACTTTTTAAGATCATTTACATTTTTGGTTACTGGGCTCCATTTTATATTTTACTTAACAGCCTCCAATATTCTCATTGCACCACTGATTAATATTCAAGGTATTAATAGCTTAATAAATATTTATTGCTTTATCACAGTATTTTTTTTAAATCCGTGATTGAGAAATATGCTCGGCTATTTTTATTAATATTGTTCGAGATAGTAATCTCGATATTTAACAATCCGATTTTCTAAAGTAAAATTGCCGGGTATATAGTTAGTATAGATGAATATACCAAACCAAGGTCAACAATGTTCACAGTATATAAAAGAATAATTTTAAATTTTATTTTAATTGAATTTAATTGAAAATTCTACCAAGTTCTCCTAATAACTATTGCAAAAGTGTACAAAATTTGGAGTTTAATACATATTCTAGAAAAAAAAAAAATTATCATCTCTCCAAATTCTTCAATGGATTTCTACCTATGGTGAATAAACTAAATTTAATCAACCAAAATTGTATTTATACGATTTTTATTTTTACGACAACATTCACCAAATAATTCAATATGCGTGGCATCCTAACCTAACCATCACTAGGAAATGTTCTTAATATGAGATATTTGTAAAAATACGCAACATTCATCGAAATGATTAGATGAGATCAACAACTACCGACGATTGTCAACATTCATTACTAAGTGGCCATACACCTTAACTATACATAATATATATATGCATATATTGTACTAATATAAATTGTAACCACATAAAATGTTTTTTTTTCATACGTAATCGTGAAAAAAATGTTATCATTTGTTATTTGTCATATATCATTTACCATTCGAAAATTGATTAGGTTTTATTAGAGTCTATTATTATGAACTGCTAAAACGTTGAGTGCCTCGGTGTGCCTATTTTATATGCCGAGTTCGTGTAGCCGCATCTAAACTATAACACCCATAATGTCGGTCGACTACGTGTCAACTTCGGCCACCAATGTATAACCGATATTTTTCGTCCTTGCTCATTACTTATTATTTGACTAATGATAAATACAATAAATCGTTGATGAATATATGTATGAAATATTATAAAATGAAGGATACTTGAAACGCAACTAGTTTTTTTTTTTTTTACTAAATTAGTTTTTGTGCAAGTATAATTGAAATAGAATACGTAAAAACTCGTATTTCAGATTTATAAACATTAAAATGTTCACAGTGCAACATATCCCAGCGACAAAATTATTTAGTGGAGGTAACTAGTTCTTAATTCCAAAAGATGAAAAAAATAATGGTTCTACTCGTACATTTTGTATTTGAATCCAACGTAAATTAATATTCATTTTTCATTATCCCTTCTCCCCAATAGCTAAGATCTGGAAATATCACTGGACACCAGTGGCGGATTAGGGGCAGGCTTTTTTTTTTTTTTTTAGAATTAAGTTTTATTATTGACTTATTAGGTATATTTATTTTAATATATATTTTTTTTTATATTTGTCATATAAATCCGCCGTAGCTGAAATAGCACTTTTCAGCGCTGACAAATCACAAGTCACTTAATTAAGTTGTCCTTTCCGGATTTGATTCGCCACCGGAGTACCGCTTAATCAAGCTTGTACCGGTGACGGTCAACCCCTATTTACACATTACTTGTACAAACGTATATCTATGATAACCCCATAATGTAACGTTAGGATCTGACCAACTACCCAAACACCAACGATTGCTCCGACTCACATTTACAAGTCTGGTCGGAGCAAGCCGACGCTTTACTCGTCATTTCATATTATATGTGTATATATATCTACGTTTTATATCAAAATATAAGAACGTGAATACCTATAAATCCGAGCGTTTTAAATATTTTACGATTCGGAACGTCAACCCTGACACTATGTATCATTTTATAAAATCGAAAAACTCGGAAGAACCGAAAAAAACCAAAAATATTTTTAATTTTTTTAAATGGGTTCCGGTTCCGATTCCAGTTCTATGAAATAAAGAATATAAGTTCCATAAAAGGATCCGGCTCCTAAGTTTTTCTCAAGAACCGGTTCCAATCCCTGGCCGATAATCTTTGTGAATTTCAATTTCTTATATCACTAAGTATTTGGTACGATTTACTATATCAAATCAACGTAGCCAACAAAGCAATGCAAGGAATCACTATGAACATAATCACAGCAACTTCGATTATTAAAGGTT